AAGAATAATATACAATTCCGTAGTTTTTTCATAGCAATTATAATTATATTAATAAAGCAATACATATTAGAAAATTAAAGTATTCAATGGTAATATAGTATTACAAATTGATAATGTATGAATACAATGACATATATAAATATAAATTTACATTTATATTTTTTATATATATTTATATATGTAGACATTGACATATATACACTACAACAATTTACACATTTGGCGACCACTTTTACCGACCAAAAAAATTTTAAACGCGAAAAAATGACATTTGGCGACCAAATATTAATTAGTCGCGAATGATCATTATTTTTGGCGACCAAATATTATTGGTCGCAGAAGGTTATATTTTGGCGACCAAAAAATGTGTTGGTCGCAGAAAGTTGTATACTTTTGTCGACCAACAACAAATTTGGTCGCGGAAGGTCACATATTTTTTGGCGACCAAAAATTTGGTCGCGAAAAACTTATTTTCAGCAACCAAAAAAAATTAGTCGCCAAATTAGTACTTTTAGCGACTAATATTTTAGTCGCCGTTGATTGAGATTTGGCGGCTAAAAAAATTTGTCGGCGAAAGAACCTGTTTTTGCGACTAATTTAATCTTTTGGTCGCCAAAAGTTTGGGGGGAAATTTGAAACTTGGGGCGGGAATTGAATTTCAGAAAAAAAAAAAAAATTAAAGCCCTGATCTCCCTTGTCTCTATCTAAAAAAAGCCCTAATCTGTGTCTCTCTATGTTGGCCCGCCCCTCCCTCTTTCTGTGTTCTCTCTCTCAATCAGTGCCCACTCTCTCTAGCTCACCGAAGTCCCTCACCACCATTGCTCACGTTGGTCGCACGTCGCCACCGCTGCAAATCGCCATCGCCAATAATTTTCTACTTCACACTGTTGATACATCAATCGAACCCAGATTGGGGTAATTTGGTTTAATATGGTGATATGTAATAAGTTTCTCCTAATATTGGATCCCCAGTAATCAATTTCCTTTGTTGAGAAAGAACCCAGATTGGATGTCTCTCTTTCCTTTCTCTCCATCGGCATCAATTTTCTTCCTATGAACGAAGATCAATCGAAAACGACGACATCGATCGCCTCCTTCTCATCCATTCCGATCTCTCCTCTCTCATTCACCAGGTAACTAATTCGTACTTCTAGAGAGAAATGAGATAGCAATTTCATATTTGATCGAACAATGGTTTAGAGGAAATTGATTCACTGAACTGCATCATTCTCTCTCTCCTTCAATTTTCTCATAATGTGTGATTGTCATTTCTGTTCGGTTTGTGTTAGATTGACAGTGCTTGCTAGGATGTAGAAGATTACAGAATGATTTTGAAAATATTTTCATGAAACTTGAAATGTTGATTTCTCCTGTTATCCTCATATAGCTATTAATAATCCAGATGTCCTATGTTGTCTGATTAATCTCAGGTGCTGTACAGAACGTAATTTAGTGCTTGCTGGTGATGATTTTCTTTTACTTTGTGGTTCAAACTTGTATTAGCTTGGTTCTGATATGCAAATTTGCTGCGGATATGTACTGTTAACTTTTTGAGAAGCCTTGCTCTTAGTTCTTGTCTTGAAAATGGATTGTATGGTTTTTAAATTCTTAGAAAATTACCCTAACTTCGTAGATATCCCTTATAATTTCAAGGAAAATTTGGGATATTCTTTCTAATATCCCCTGAAGTATGTTTCATTTGCCTCTTTTGATTTAGCTAACGAGTACTGTTTAATCATCCGTGACTGCCCCACCCTGTTAAGATCCGAGTATACAGCTTCCCACTTCATGTAGAAACATGATTGAAGTGATCCAGGCGTCATCACAATCACAAGGCATAATATTGTAACTCTGTGTGTATGTGTGTGTGTCATGTTGCACATATGCAAAAACTTTGTAGTTCACATCTGTGATCTGTATAGCTTCTTTATGCACTTTGTGTGAGCATATAACATGTAATATGATCTCGAAGGTAATATTGCTTTACTTGATTTCCCTATAGTAAGTTTGTAGGTGCATTTTTACATAGATAAGTTTTGGAGTATAGGTAGGGATGAGTTTTGTGCTTTTTCATTTAATTGATAGCGAAACTTGTGAAGGAAATTCATGATCGATTTTGGTATCACATCATTTGTATAAAAAATCAGTTTGTATAGCATTACCCATTTAGATATAAGACCATAAAATACTGGTCTCATTAGATATAAGACATATCATTCTGTATAAATTTTTTTGAACTCCCTTTTTCGTGCGCCCATGTCATTTTATGATTCTACACCTTTGGGAAGGATACTGAGTTGAGTAAGTGTCTCCAACACTTAAGTATGAATTGTGTTTTGGCATATCAAGGATATTCATGAAACTAGCTTTCCAAATCTTCACTTTTTTTTTTTCCTTTTATGTAGGTGTCAGTTGATTTGAGTACTGTTGATCTTGATATTCCATTTAGCTTTATCTTCTGTGTTGGGGCTACCACAAATGCGTATTCTAATCTTGCGATGTTAGCTATTGTTACTTGGCCAGTCCTGTTTGTCTCCATACCAATGGTTCTTTTTGCAATTCACTTACAGGTAATCCTTAGGAGGTTTTTAACGATGAATATTTTTTGCTATTTAAATCTCCTACGTAATATGACAATTGGATATGAAATGAAATTTAGTAAACAAGCGTTGACAATCAGGAGATTTAGGATTTTTTTGGCAATTGGTGTTATTAATGATCATAGTTCTTAAAATCATATGACGTACGATTCAAAACTTATAATTTGAGTTTTTTCAAGCCCTAATCAATACAAAGTGGTTGAGTGAATTGGTGGAGGGCATAAGCCGGTATGTGAACTGATGAATCAACTGAAGTAGAAAAACAAATTAAATATAATTAATGTTGCAGAAACTTTATAAAGCAGAATGTGATAATTCTTGTGTCTTGCTGCTTCTTTTTCCTCCTCCTTATGAGGGGATTTGTCATTGTGTGTGTGTTAAATCTCAAATCTCAACTACTAAAATTGTTGGAAACTTGCATTATTCATAGAGATACTACTTCGCCACTGCGAAAGAATTGATGCAGCTCAATGGCACAACCAAGTCTTTGGTAGCAAACCATCTTGCTGAGTCCATAGCAGGATCCATGACAATAAGAGCTTTTGAGGAGGAAGATCGGTTCTTTGTCAAGAATCTTGACCTCATTGATGTAAATGCTACTCCATTTTCCCACAATTTTGCAGCAAATGAGTGGCTGATCCAGCAGCTCGAAACACTTACTGCAGTTGTTCTCTCCTCATCAGTGCATGGTTTTGCTTCCTTCGGGAACTTTCAGCTCTGGTGGCTATTTATCTAATTTTTCTTTATTCTTATTATTGCTATATCCCAAACAAATTAGGGTGCATCAGAATCAAAATTATTATTATTTTGAATCTCAAATTTATAGATATGTAGAGGGTTGAGACATAAGGGGAAGGAAGAAAAGAAAATAAGGTGGAAATAGATAGTCATAGACTAATATTAAAGACAAAAAATAGATATGAACAAGAAAAAATTAGTGTGGCTGCTCTATAAACTGCAAATCTGTTGGAAATGAATTAATAGAATAATAAATATAATGGCTGCAATTGATTCTTTCATATGATGTTTCTCATTACCTTGTGTTATTTTTGCAGGATTTATTGGAATGGCCTTGTCCTGTGGTCTCTTATTGAACATGTCCTTTGTTATGTCCATTCAAAACCAATGCACTCTAGCAAATTACATAATTTCTCTGGAAAGGCTCAACCAATATATGCACATACCAAGTGAAGCTCCAGAAGTGATAGAAGAGAACTGACCCCTTGTAAATTGGCTGACTAGGGCTAAAGTGGAGATTCAAGATTTGCAAGTAAATTTTTTGTGCATTCGCATTTAAACTGACAAAGGATAGTAGCACACTGACTGAGAAATATATACATGATGTCAAAACAGATCAAATATAAGCCTGATGCACCACTTGTTCTTCGTGGGATAAGTTGTTCATTTGAAGGAGGACACAAAATTGATATTGTTGGAAGAACTGGCTGTGGGAAGACGACTCTGATAGGTACTTCACAATACTAATTTGATAGGACACAAAATTTGATATTTTTAGTTCTTCACAATACTAACTTGTGGTAATCACATATTACCAGATCGACCATTTATTATTGTGGTTCATCTTCATTTGAGTGTTTATTTAACTGCTTTTAGTGCATTGATCCCTATTAGTATTTCATTGACACAGTTTCTGAATAACTTATTAGAGGTTTCTAGTTATTTAGCTATCTCTGTGCAACTCTGTTTCAGGAACCTGTTCAAGATGAAGAAGATATAATTAAATTCTGTGAAGAAACTGGGTTACCAGTAGCACTGAATGAAACCATTGAAAATGTCTAAGAAAATTCTCTTGGAATGCTGGCAAAGTTTACTCACTCAGGAGTAGTTGTTGTCGTAAGTGGAAGTTTATTTTCTTATGTTAGTTATTGGGACGAGCAGCATGTAATACGTATCATCGTGTATGCCTCATCAGACAGTACACTAGTCGCTGTCAATCCAAAAAGTTCAATTTCTAAGCCTCGTCAAAAAATCTAACCATATGTGTTAAACCACATATAATTGAATGAAATTTTGTTTTGGAGGTTTTCTTGCATACCTCAATCAGGACAAGATGCGTAAAACACTTTAGTGATTAAACTCATCTCAACTCATGTTATGCTTATGATAGTGTGCCTTTCATTTCTTTTATATCTGTGAAACATGAAAGCCATTACTACGATCAGAACCTACAAACTGCTGCATCTGTTAAAATTCTTCAGTCACAATTTCCCCATCATTAATTATTCATCTTTTGACATGAATTATATTCAATGGGGAAAAAGTCAGAAATATGAACCTAATTTGGTTTCATTTTATAACTCTTGTCAGGTCATCAAACCAAGTGTAGTTGGGGGTTTCGAAAATGCAGCATTGATTGCAAGATGGGCTCAGCAGTAGGGGATGAGTGTTGTTAGTGCTACATTTGAGAGTAGCCTAGGTTTGTCAGCTTATGTCCAGTTCTCGTATTATCTTGAGCTGCAAAAGGCAGGTATATGTATGGCAATGAACAAGAAACCTTCCCCTTCTATAGCACATGGTCTTGGAAATTACGGCTGGCTTAAAGAAGATATAACTTCTGAACCTCTGAATATTTGTCGTAATCCATGCAGTGGCTTCATAGAAGCATCTGTTGATGATGCTGGCCGTCTCTTGGGGAACTTTCAAGTCGACAACAAGGTCATCCTTTGAAATTTTACTGGGAAGAAGTTCATAAATACCAGTTAATAGTTAATTCATATGGTTTCTCTTTTTTCATCAATGTACGTCAGATTGGATCAAGCAATGAAGTAAGCACTGGAATTTTAATTTTTATGTTAATATTTTGTATCCTTCGGAGTCTTTGATCCATTGAATTCGCACAAAATGCTCTAGGGTATTTAATACCTATGTAATTCCAGATAATTTGGCACATGATTAAATGCAAATAATGGAAAGCAAATAGTTCCTGGGTGTATTTTTTTTCTTTTGGTTTCTTGTACATAGTTGGTGGAAAAAATTAGAGGAGTTCCATTAATGTGGGGGGAGTGAGTTACACATTTCTCTATGTCATCTGTTGTACTGATACACGAAGAGTTAATGTCTATGTTGCATGGTTATCTGTCCACATTTTGTATACCTAGCAGCTGTAACTAAAAAACTTCTTTCCCTTTTTTTCACTTGTTAAAATGGCTTTCCATTTGCAGCACCACTGGTTAGACATACTGAAATTGAGTTAGGTGTGGTTATTCTTTATCACTCTTTCTTAATTTGAATGATGCAGAATAATGTACTTGTGTTTCTCCATGGGTTTCTTGGAACTGTTGAAGACTGGTGTAGACGTCGCCGAACGCCCCGGGAGGGTGAGCTCCCGTTCCGTTCATTAAAGGTGTCACTACAGCTCGGACTCTCAAATTGTCACGGTTTTTAATCTGAACCAAAGAGTCCAAATCCGACAAATCGTTTTGAGAAACAGATTTTTGAAAAGAAGTGCCAAACATGGACTGCTTTGCTAGATACAGAGTCGCCACCTAAATATTTTTTATGGGGAATTTAGGAAACCCTGACTCGGTGCCGAAGGCTACATGTCCGTCATCACCGGAGTTGTCTCGGCTCGGGAGCTAGGGTACGATTGGGGAAGGTCAGCTATGAGCACCCCCTCTCGCCCGATCTGAAGATCGGCCTCTACTAACCGTGATATCCATTTTTGAAAACTTTATGTGTTCTTATTCCATTTATTAGCCTAGAATTACTATGTTATGCGCACAGCAAACAAGTATAAACTAGGTTGCCTAATTTGGAAAAAAGCATTGCATATCCGTTTGCTTTGAAAAGCGCTTTGGAATTTGCTACTCGCGAGTAGGCTAAAACACGGATTTCAACGAGTTTTTCCAACTCAAGCAATTCAACCTTCACCCGCAGGCATTCAAACAGTTTATCTCATATAAGCATCTAGCCACATGGTAAGCATACTGTCATGATAGCATTCACACGCATGCGAGATGCTAAAACATAAATACTTACATTGTACTCCGTGCCAAAACAGTAAACTAGTTAGCAAACATGCGTGTCCTAGCTCATGTTGAATTGACTAATGCAGCACATACGGGATGTAATTAGATAGGCTCGGCTAACCTAAACATGGCATGTGAAAATGCACAACCAACATGCATTCAGTTTGGAATTAGAAATACAGATGTGGTTAGAATGATGCGCCGAGCCCGGTGCATGTAAAACAAATGGATGAATGCACGCATGCATTACATGAGGTATGCTAATTTAAAAGTGCCCTAATCTACCATCATAAGCAGGTAAATAAAAGGGAGGAAAGACGTGAGGTTGGAAGACATACACACACTCACGCACACTTATTACAGATTTGCCCTCGCTCGGAGGGACCAAATAAATATTACAAATTAATTAACTACACAAGCTAATTAATATTACAAATTAACTAATTAACAAATTAACTAATTAATTAAAGCAGAAAAACGCCTCGGGAAGCGTGCCACCATGCGCAAGCTGCCTCTGTTTTCCTTCCTTTCCTCCTCTGGAGGCTGTCAAAGCCTCAGGACTGCATCCTTGGACAGAGGAGATCATCACCGGCTGAATGAAACTTCCACCGGCAGTGTAGTATGCCCATCGGCACAAAATAGGGTCTGTCGGCAGAGAAAATTGTGCCGGTCGGCACATTAAACTGCCGGTCGGCAGAGTATTCCTGCAGAACCTGCAACTCACAGCAACAGAGGGCAAAACAAGGCATGACAGCATATTTCAAGGCATGTATAGAACCTGTTTTGACAGCAGCAGAGGGCAAAACATGGCATGGCAATGCATTTCAAGCAAATGTGTGCACCACCATGTCCCTTATCATGTTTGTGACTCAAAGGGACATACTCCTTGGTTCTCGGACCATCAATCGCGCATTTCCATGCGTGATGGTCCAAGTGACCAAGTGTGCACATTTTGATGTTAAGTGTAATGCAAACCAACAAACCAAAGGGGTCCAATCCCTATCACTAAATCAAGGGACAAGACATGCATGTTCAATGCAACCTAGGCATGTTAGCTAGGGATGCAACATGGCAATGCAAGCAAGCAAGCAATGAACAAGCATACACGCTAATGGTCATGCAAGACACGGTGCAATCAAAGCATGCGAAGTGTGAGACATGTAACAACATGTAAAGATTGGACTTAAACATGATTTGGGCAGCTCTAAAAGGGGCCAAAACAGTGGCCAAAAGTCAAGGAATTAGAATCAAACATACATACACACATGTAAGTAAGTTGGACCAACACTTAAGCACAAATGCTCAAGCCTCAAAGGGCTACTTCTAAGCACATTTGAATGAGGCAATCACGGGCATAGACATGCAAGGTAAGCATTGAAACTCATGTTAGAATGGTGTCAAACCAAGCAAACAAAATAGACCAAGCATGCAATAGATGGCCCAAGTACTTGAAGCAAGTCAAAGAGACTTGAACCATGGCTAAGCCAACCAAGCCTCACAAGGCTAAGAGGACTTAAAATAGGTTCAAGACAGTCCTAGACCATGCAAAAGGGACTCTTAGATGGCATCTAAGTGGCTCGAATTCAAAAGCATGCACAAGTGCCAAAACATGGAGCATGCTACACAAGCTTTCAAAGCATTAAGGAAACATCCAAGGCAAACATACAAGCATGCTATAAGGTCTGAAATAACATGGTGGATAGTTCCAAACCACTAAATCAATGCAAGAATGCCATGCTATACATTCATACACTTAAGGCCAACAAGCCGAAATGCAAAGGAGCTATACTAAGCCTGCCAAATCCGACCCAAACAACCTAGGACAGACCTAAGACATGGCAAAATATGCACAAAACCTTCACAAAACTAAGCCTAAAACATGCTCTAATGAAGGCTAACAACCTAAGGCATATTAAGGCAATAACATGGCATTACATGGTAGGTATGCTAAGCATGCATGGTGTACCAAAACCAACACACAACAAGGTTATATCATGGCATAATAAGCATGGAAAACAGCCAAGACATGACCAATACACACTCTAACATGATGCTTTCTCAAGAGGCCAAAAAGGGTCCGTTTCAAGGACAACAAGGAGAGGGGGTGGCCCTCCCCTTTTGGAGACTTCAAGGCACCAATCTAACCTTCACCCACAGGCATTCAAACAAGTTTAACACATAAGCATCTAGCCACATGTTAAGCATGCTGTCATGGCAACATTCACACTCATGCGATATGCTAAGTGGTGAAGAGGCCCAAACACCAAAGTCTCGAAACTCACTCAAAATGGCTCAAAATGGGGCCTTTCAAGGCCTAAGAGGGGTCACACACCTCCAAACCACAAAACACTCTTAATAAACAATCAAGAGGGTCTAAAAAAAAAACTTTTTTGTATTATACACTAAGCTCAAAATTGATTTTAAGATAGGCAAAAACAAGATGCAAAAATGGGGTAAAAAGGGGTAAGATTCTTACCCTTGAAGACCCCTTCAACAATGATGCTCCAACAGCTCCTTTTAGGTTGAAAACAGCTCCAAAACTTCAAAACCAACCTCTTAGAACATCAGTAGCTAAGTGAAGGTGAAACACTATGTGTTTGTGTGCAAAAGTAAGACACAAATGCACTTAAACACACACAAGAGGGGGATATAGAGATAGAAAGTGTATGGATTCTAACCCTAGAACTCAAAACCCTAAAAATGGCTGTCTAAAGATATCTAAGGTGTCTCAAGTCTCTAACCTAAGGCCAAGAGAGAAGACCCTCTCTTATAGAGCCTTTGTCTTGTAAAGCTTACAAGACAAGCTTCTAAAGAGAGAAATCCCTCCATACACGTGTGTATGGAGGGGAGCAAAAGGCAAGACAGCTGTCTTAAAATATCTGCAAAAGCAGATGCACAGTAGTCGGCCGCCCAAAGATGCCATTTTGGCAAAAAAGAGTGCCGACCGGCACTAAAAAGTGCCGACCGGCAATATACATTGCCGGTGGCAGCAAAAACCAGCCGGTGGCCTCTAGCTACTGCCAGTGGTGTGTGGGGATGCCTCACAAGGCATTCCCTGCCCTTCCAAGGCAAAATGCAAGTGTTTGGTACAAAACCAGACACTTAACGGTCGAATTCGGAGATTCTGAGGCAAGGCGCGTAGCCGAGACCTCCGGGAACTCCAAACGAACACAAACATGGATGATCACCGAGTGTTCAAACGGTGACGACCAAGTCTTAAGGACGGTAAAAAA